ATTAACATAAAAGAAGGAGTAGGGCTTATCATCTACCGCTTTATGATACATATTTAACAGTTGCTCTTTATCAACGATGGCGGAGTTTTCCTCAATGAATGACATTAACTCTGATACATTCTTTAACTTGAAGATATACAACGAACTAGAATTCAACCTAATGATTGGTGCTAGGACACGATATTTTTGAACGCTTAAGCAAAAACTAATGGCGTCGTGTCTGCCTCTCGTTGCCAGTCCATGTAATAACTTGCTGTATCTAACAAATTTAGGGTCGTCTGCAAAATCATCAACAATGATTAAAATGAATGTAGTTTCTTCATCTTCTGTTCTTTCATATAATGAATTATCTTTCTTTGTGTGTTAATTATTTCTTCCAGTTCTTCAGGTTGGTAGGTGTCATAATATAACTTTTCTTTTTCATCATCAACCTTCATATTATCTTTTTGATATTTCTTGACTTCAACGAAGGTAGGGTCATTATGAACCGACGGGCTAAAAATGAATATACGGGCGAAGCAGTCCCTATAAACATTTAGGATAAGGTTTTGAATTAAAACTGTTTTGCCACCCGTTGATGAAGCAACAACAATTGAGCGAAAAGGTAGTTTTGGTACATGTTCATATTTAGATTGTTTGAAATCGTAATCAGTTATATTTATTGGTTTTATTATTGGAACATCAGACATAATAAAATAATATTAAAGTTATTTAGAAAATATTTTATATTTATTATTTTATATGAATAGAAGTTATTCAGATTATATTGATATAATAGATAAAGTAGAAAATATAGAACAAGTAATAATAACCGATAATAAAATTAAGAAATGTTGTTATTATTCATTAGAATTAATTAAGTTAGGAATACAATATATTAAAAATATACATATTAATATAGATGGGAAGAAAGAAAAAGAATAAGTCCGAGCCAGTTGTTTCTTCAACTGATGAAGAAAAAGAAGAAATTGTTAAAGAAACATCAGTTATTGAGTTTGCTTGTCCAATGTGTAAAAAGATGTTAGAAATGAAGAATGAATTAGAAATACAAAAGAAAGGACATTGTAAATGTTCGTGTATTCCGTCAAGTTTCAAAATAAGTAAGAATGATAAGAAAATGAATATTGATAAAACTAAAGACAGTATAAATCTGGAAACGGATGTTCATAATATAACTTTTAAATGGGGTAAGGATGCATCACTTTCGGAAAATGGTGATATCGAAACTCAGGAAACTATACGTGAAATGATGAAAAAATAGTATTTAAAGAGTAGATTTAACATAATTGCAACATTTAGTTTTAAAAGTTTAGTTTTATAATTTAGTATATATGGAAGAACATTTAGAGAACATTGACAGTAGTTTGGAGTTGTTGTTTCCAAAATTAGAAAAAGTGTTGGAGCAAAATGAAAACATACTGAAAATCTTAAAGAGCATGAATATTAAACCTACATATAATAACAATAACAATTATCAAGCAAAAGAAGTAGATAGAGACAGTAGCGAATACAAAAATAAACGAAACATTTATGTTAAAAAACTGAATGAAAAAGTCATAAAAGAACCTAAACAATCAAGTCTGGATTACTATCAAGTCAAGTATAAAGAAGACACCAAGAAATACGTTTAATCATTAACCAACAAAATTTCGTGTCTCAAAAGCGGTTTGTTTATTCCTGCTACTTTGTAAGTTTTATTACCCATAATATCATATTCAATTTTATCGATATTGAATATTTTATTAGACCATTTAGAGTTATACTCCTTTCTGTCGGTGTAATTACCCCTTTTCTTTTGGAACACTTTTACCTTGTCGTTCTCCTCTATTTTGGGATACTTTCTTTTGTTTTTTTCTCGTAGTTTAAGATTGACCTTTACATTTATTTCATTGTCGTCCTTGTGTGCTTCGGACGGTGTCATCCTTGTTGATGAGTGTGATGTGCTGTTATACTGTTTCAATGCTGGCGTTAGGGCGTCGGTCCATTTCATGTTGTTAAACCTAACTCTATCGTGAATTTTGTTTTTCATCGTTCTAATAAAACGCTCGGCTACATTTGCGTGGGTCTTCGTAACGATGTGGTTTATTCCTTCACTGTTGAAGAAATCCTGAACTTGATTTTTAGTTGCAAACGCTCCGTCGTCATCAGAATACACGGACATCGGATAACCCATCTTTTTAAAGCTTGCTCTCAACGCCTTCAAAACGTGCTCTCCGTCTCTTTCCTCCATCGGTATTACATCTGCTAATTTACTGAAGATGTCAATCACGACTAAAGCATACTGTGGAACGTTCTTGTCTTTTGCTAAAGGAGACATATGCATTATGTCTATTTGATATTCATATCGTGCGAATGGAGCGGTATAGGAATTAGTACCTCTATAATTTTTGATTTGTTTATTTGGTTGTTTCTTTAAGAAAGACTTTACATCGTCTAATGTTATTGTTGGGTCTTCTTCCTTTGCCTTCTTGTGTGTCGCTTGTGTGCTTCCGAAACCCTCGTCTAAGTCGTAATAGATGTTGCTGATTATTTGGTCTTTTGTTAATCTCGCCATTATATTAAATTGTTAGAAAATATTTTTTCAATATAAAGCCCCACCCCTTAACATAAAATACAAACTACTTAAAGAAAAATGGATATAATATAGTAAGAAAAAAAATGACACTGTTTAATTATGATAATTGTCCTTGTAAAAATAACAAATGTAAGACTGTCGTGGCACTAGCTAATATTTTACCTGTTAATGTGTGTAATCTTATAGGTGGTTATATTAAACCAACATGTTTTGATTGTTGGTATTTGAGAGATGAAGAAGAACATTTTATGAGAAATAAAGACATTCCTGAAGAAGGACTGGAAAAAGCAGAACTTCAATTACAAGTTATTAAACTAATGCAAAATAATGTTTTTACTCTACTAGCAGAAAACCCATATAGTATAAAAATAAGACATTACAGAAAACACATTGACCGAGTATTTGATATACAAGAAGTTAAAGAACGGTTTAAAAATAGAAAAATGTATTATCAAGCATTAAAATCATACTGTAAGAATAATGAAAATGAAGTTTGTATCGTTTTAAGAAAATGCCTTAACATTGAAGATTTAAAAAATTTTAAACGTTGTGGGTTTAGCTTTCCAAACCTAAACAGTTGGTGGTCATATAGAAATAACAATTATTATATGAGATATATTCTTAGCGAATTAATTGAAATTTACACAGACCAATTAATAAAAGGATACGAGCATTATTGTTGCGAGTATAGTATGAGTTGTTATAGTGGTTGTATCGCTGGTGAGATTGAATACGGGTAAAATTAACTTTTGTTTATTAATATTATTATCTTATAATATGATTAAACATTGTTTTATAATCTAACAAGAAGGTTAAGACATTTAAATTAAACCTGAAACCCAGACCAGCCGACCAGCAACCCCTAGCCAAAACTACTTAAAGAGAAAAAACCTTATATATTAAGAGAAAAATGAGTGGGGGTAAAATATCAGATAATAATTTTATGGTTAAGAATTGTGCTAGCTTACCTGTTGATGTATTAAAAGGTATCATTTCATATAAATTAGGGGAACCTGAGTATTTGAAAATAAAACATAATCATATTAAGACATTAAAGAGAATACAACATCAATATAAAATAAACAGAACAGAAACACAAAGAAAGACAAAGCGTCGAACTGCTGTAGGTGGTGATGATATAAAGAGACACGTAATTGAGTATTACATTTCAAGAAATAAACCTTTAAGCATTAAAAGCATTGAAGATATAGTTTTTAATGAAAATGAAAACTTAGGTTGTTTGTTAGATAGCATTGAAACCGATAACAGTTATGGAGAAGTTATAATAGTTGAGGTAAATATGTTTGTAAGGTTTCATCATTTCAATTATTATGAAGACAACCATTTTAACACTTTTAGTTTTTATTTTCGTAGTGATGATGTTGTAGATAATATAACCATAGATAATATAGCTGATGTAATGAGAGTGGCGCATCAAACAATATACAGATGTATGGAAGATGAAAGAAGTAGCATGAATTTTGAAGGAGTACAAAACATAAGGTTTAAACTAATGGTTGATGAACCTGTGTAATTCATAACTAAACCATAATTATAACATGTAAAATCTTATATGTTATAATTATACTGAACTTTTAACCTATAACACCCCTTAAACTTATCTAAAGTAATAACCCCTTAAACATATAGAGACCAATGACAGACAAAAAGCAATGTTCCAAATGTAAAGTCTTTCAATTGTTAGAAAAGTTCAACGAAGGAAGAAAACAATGTAATGTATGCTTGGAGAGCAAACAACGGTATAGAGAAGCACACAAAGAACAAATACAACAAAAGGCAAAGGAGTATTACGAAAACAACAAAGAACAAATAGCAGATAAGAATAAGACATATAGAGAGAATAACAAAGACACTTTAAAAGAACAGAAAAAGAACTATCGTGAAAACCATAAAGACGAATTAAAACAAACAGCAAAAGAATATAGAGAAAAGAACAAAGAAGACATAAATGAAAAACAGAAAGACTATAACCAATTGAAAGTGGAATGTCCTTTATGTAAATGCATGGTAGGAAAATACAGAATGAAAAAACACCAACAAACAAGTAAGCACCAACTAAGAGTGAAAGGTCAAGAAAACAATAACGATACTGTGAGAGATTACATGGAAACAACAAGTGACTTTGAACAAGAATAGGAATAAACAAATGAACCACCAACACCCCAGAACAAAATAACTACTAAAAGGGCTAACTCTTTCAAATGAAAAAAATGTCGGCCCCCAGAAAATCCACCCCTAACACCCTACAACAAAATATAGGATGAAATCAAACAAGGGTGTTAAAACGTTGGATAACAACATTTGACCCAATAACCCCTACACTCCTCCCTCTTTCCCCCAGGCCCCCCCTTTTCTCCATTTTTTCCCCCACCCCCCCCACCCCCGAAAACGCTGTTCGAGCCGCCGGCTTCCTTTGCTGCGGATCCACTCGCAGCTGGGCGCTCGCGTCGCCCGGGCGATTCGAGGAACGCGACTCGAGGAGTTGGCCGAGAAGTCGAAGAGCCTCGCGGTTTGGGGGTCAGGTGGCTTTGTCTGAAGCACCCCACGAAACCTGGGCTGCCCTCAGATCCCCCGCTAAAAAATGGAAACTACCGCTGAAGATCAAAAAGCTGAAAATCAAAGGGGATGGCTGGGAGCCACCAAGAAACGGTTGGGTGACCTTTTGCTGGCCCCCACTTTACCCCAAACATGCAGACTTCAACTCAGAAGGTTGGGCTGAGTTCCTTTTGGTTTCCTTTTGGAATCCAACACAACTTGGTTGACGTTGGAACGGGAGCAAGAATGTAAATTTTAGCAGTTAAGTGGGGATTTCAACCACTAAACCACAATAAGCAAAATGTAATATGTTTCCCAACAACAACCATGCAAAAGGGGTGAGATTTCCGGAGCTGCCAAGTCGGTGTAACTTTTTGCGACGCCTTTGCCGCTTGGGCCTCCGGAAGCCCAAAGCTCAGGGGATGCGAAGTTTTTAATTACTTCCCACAGGCTCCAAGTCGATTGATGTAGGGCCTTTCTGTTTCCCTTTCTGTTGGTTTCCCTCTTTTTCTAATTCTTATGTGAGTTCCCTTTCTGTTGGTTTTGAAGGGAATGGATTTCCCTGGAGGCTCCCGACTCCCGAGTGATTCAGGGCTTTCAAACATGGTTTTGAGACCCCCAACCGCCAATTCCCCGGGTGTCTAATGGAGGGGTCAGGTCTTCCATCGAAAGCCAAAGTCAGGAGGATTTGGGTTTCCAAACCGGAAAAACATAAGGGATCATGGCTTTCGCTCGTTTTACCTCCGGATCGGTGAGCTCGCTAGAAATTTCGCAGAGCAGTTTCTAGCTGGGACTGGGAGGCTTGGATTTGCGGCCGATCCGAGCGGACAGAGCTACGACTCGGCTGGAACCCTCTTTGGGTATTGTACGATGGTTTTGTGGCTCAGTGCGCAAACATTTAGGGCATCCACCGCACCCCTTTATACATCTGTGCTCAAGCACCTGTTTCGCCTGAACCAAATCCTCAAGGGACCTTCATTGGGTTCGCTCGCCATGATTCACTTCAGTGGCCAAGAAAGTCAGAACCGTCTACACTTGTTTCACCACTCGGACAATTGATGAATATCTGGCCCCACATCTACCCAACCCATACTCTGGGTGTACGAAATCCTGCGCCACTTGGAATAGATGAAATCCTATAGATAATGGGAGAAGCCTCCTACTAACTGGTGCGGGATTTCGTCCACCCAAAAATTATCTGGAGCATGGTGCAAACCCAAAAAGTAAGATTTATCATTTTTGGTGGGGCCCGGACCCGAAACTCAGCTTCCTTCCTGGTGGTCTGGTGGTTAGGGAGTGGCTTCCCATTTTCCCTCTAGAACCAGGGTCTTCAAATCGACAAGCCACCAACCCAAACGACCAATTTGGAGCTCCACCCGAAAAAAGTAGCTTCAAGCGAGTGGAATTCGCGCCGGGAACATGGAATTCCTCCCCGCCCCTTTCGAGGCTTACTTCGATCGAGGCTCATGTGCCGCCACCTCTCCTTCTCACAGCACATGGCACGTGATTGGCCCACCTGCAGCCGGAACTTGGGACTATCCAAGGGTGTTGTATTGCACCCTGGGAATACACCCACTAGGTATTGACCCGATTTAGGCACATTTTCCGGATAAAGCTGTGTTATTTTGAACCTTCTGGGTCATTTCCCAAGGGTGTAATCCCAGGGTGTAATACAAAAACCCTCAGAGACTAGCCCCGGAACCGGGCAACTGATTGGGTCACTTCCGACGTGGATTGGCCAAAGAGTCCAAAGTCCAAAGGCTCTTTACCCTTCTCGGTAGATCTATTCCTTTGTTGGGTTCCCGCATCTACCGAGTTAGATTTAGGCGCTGACAAAATCCTGTTGCCATGAGTCGTCCCCCTGCCTGGCGTTTTGCCTATTCACTGTCTGGGTTTAGAGTGCTCCCCCAACATCATTCTACTTATTTGGGTGCTTATGGCACCCACAAAATAAAACAAACAAAACAACAGCACATGTCAACAAGATATAGCTGTAGCGGCTTGCATAGCCCTTACTAAACCGTGCCGCCTGTAGGAGTTCCTTTCTTGCAGCACTCATACCCCGAAGAGGGAAAACACACACACAAACACTGTGAAAACCTGTGCAAACCACTCTGTGGTGATTGCCCCGGTGCAAAAAGTTTAGCTTTGCGTTGGCGAGTGGCAAAGCCGACATGTTCCCAAGGAAGGCGAAAGGTGGAACCAAATGGCAAAGGAGGAATTTTCAACTCCAGGCCCTTCACCAACTCGTATGGGTATGTGGGTCAAAATGAACTCCGCAGGGGACCGCAGGTGTTAGTCCATGTCTCCATTTACCAGATTTCCATTTTGGGGTACCTATGCTGGACCCACAGCCATACGGGTGAGTCGCTTGTTCATTGTTTCGGAAGCCTAATGGAAACCCCTGCAACCTCCAAAACCCCATCGGATCACCGGCCTGGGCGTCGAAGCTGCAGTTGGAGCCAAGGCGTTCACAGCACGCCTCACAGATCTTGGTTGCGTTGGAAGGAGAGCAACAAATAACTTTGCTAGCAGTTAAGTGCGAATTTCGTCCAGCAGTATGGATCGTTGGGTACCTTGCGCCATGAAGGCATCAAGAGAAGGGGAGGTTTTGAGTTCCCTCTAAAGTTCAAAACAACATCCCAGAGATGGACCAGAAAGAGTCAAAGCCTGCTTTGAGGGAACCACTAGGCGCCAAACAAGGGGTCTACAAAAAATATATAAATTGGCCATCTCCTTCTGGCATCGAAGAACAAGCCGGTGGCAGCTTTCCTTTTCTGAGGGCAAAGCACTTCTCGCGCCCCCCCCTCCCCCCAAAAAAAAACAAAACTTGTGGGCCTCCAGCTGCTTTTCGCACCCAAAAAGCACTTCTCGCGCCCCCCCCCCCCCAAAAAAAAAAAAAAACTTGTTGTTGGCCTCCAGCTGCTGGTGCAGGCTGGACCTCTCGAAGCAGGACACGTCGTGGATTAGGAAGGCCGCGCTGCGCACGTAGCGCGCGGTCCGGGTCACCGCGGTGAGAAAGCCCCTGTCGAGGCGAGCGGCGGAGAAAAATAAGTTTCAGCAACTGAGCCCCGTACAAATCAACCCCAGTTCAAGAAATACGGGGGTGTTCCCCCCGCCAAAAGTGGTGATTCCCCACTCAATTCAGGGCTAAACCGGGGTTGATTAACTAGGTCTTCCAGTAGTTTAAGGATAGAACAAGGATACCCGATTTTTCTGTAGTGCATCTTAGAAGGGGAACCCTCCCAACCAAAAAAGTGGAGAAAAGGGCATTATTGAAGGAATTAGAAAATCAAAAGAATGGCCGTCTCTCTTGCCCAAAGGATGGGCCCAGAAATGGATCAGGTGATCAAATTTTTGGGGCCATAATATCATAACTAAGAATTGGAACTAACGAGAAGGTAAAAGATGGTAAAAGGTGGGCAACTGAGAAGACCAGCCAAGTCAATTCACTTCTTTTTGGCTTGCGCAAAGCGGCGCTTCCCTAGCCCCAAAGACAAGCCGTAACCCGGCCCCTCACACGAACCAAGGCCGTTTCGACTCCAAAGGGGTGTGTCCTTTTTCAGGGCACCTTTCTTTTTGGTGGGACCCACCCAACCCGCCCAACCCGACCCATCCAAAGGGCCTGCGGGTCACGAGGCTCTTGGAGTAGTTGCCCCAGGGCCTCCGCCGCGGCTGCGACAAATGCGGCAGGTGCTGCCGGGCCACCTCCTCAGACTCTCGGACGCTCGGACGCTCTCGGTGGACATTCGAACCACTTCCGAACGAGTGGGTTAGCCCAAAAACAGTTAAAACAACAACAACTTTTAAGTTTTTTTCCCCACAAAACGGCCCAAACCCAAAACACATCAAAGACAACTGTGGTTCGTATAGGACGTTTTTCCACAAAAATGCGGTCCAAACCCGAAAAGTGACGATCAAGTCCACGGACTCGGGGAGTGAGTGAGATAAACTCAAGGAATCTACCGTAACTCACCCTGACTTGATGTACTTGGATGCTCCCAAAAAAACGTGAGGTAAGTGGGGTGCCATGGGTATAACTGCCTGGCAACTGGGTTATAACCTTCTAAGCGATTCGACCACCCAAGCAAGGGCACCTCAAAAAGTTGGGTTTGCTTTTGGCTTCCCTTCCCTTTGCAGGGGAAAAAACAGAATTGTAGAATGGTAACGGGCTGTGACCGGCGGCCCTTTTACGAACTTAGCGCGGGTGACGGGGCTGCCACGAACTTCTGCGAATCCGCCCCCCGAAGGGTCACGAGGTCAGCGGAAAGCTAAAATACGTGAAGGAAACTACTGCACGAACCCCACGCGGTGTTCTGCGAAGTTAGCAAGGCTTCTGCGAAGGGGGGGGGGTCCGCAAACTTCTGCGGACTGACGTCTGTTACTCTTATAAGCGTTGCCCTGCTGCGTTTTTCCCTGACTTTGAAATGTGGGTGTGATGTGATTCAGTCTTTTTGAGGGTACCCCTGTTTTAGGGCTTGGGCGGACTCCGTCACTATGTCTTTTCGTGGCCCGAGAAGCAACAAGCCAACTTTGAGAAACAAAATTACTTCCGTAATCCCCATTGAGCCAAACAACAAGCCACCCAAGCCACCCACATTCTGAAAACGCCTCATATTTTGGGGGTAGCCCCTCCCCGTTCAATCTATTCTCGCTGCGGTAGGTTCCTCAAGCAGTGCCAGTCAACACAGGTCCAGCTTCACAATGCTAACTCCTGGGTCAAATCTACGGGGTTGCCATTCTAGGGGTTGATTCCATTTCCATTTTTCTCAAGCATCGTTCTTTTCAAAAAGCCGGCCGGTTCCCTGGGGTTTTGATGGTTTCCTGAAAAGGATTCCTGGAAAGAATGGGCAGGTACCCTGGAATTCTTACTCTGTTTGATTCAGTTAGAGTGGATGCACCAAATCCTGCAGTCAGAAGCAGGCCACCCAAGACTGGGATTGAAAACAACCAACTGGTGCGTAGATGTTCTCCATCCGGAATACTTAGGGTATCCACCACCCAGATCCTTCGGCACTTGCCCCTTGACCCCTCGCCCCCTCCTCATAGCTCAGCTGCCGCATTGGCCGCATCCATTGGGCTCCGGCCAAGCCATGCATTCGATTGCTTCCCCCAGTTTCAACTGCAAGCCTTCAACTTGGTTGACGTTGGAAGGGGAGCAAACAAATATGTTTTAGCAGTTGAGTGGGGATGTCAACCACTAAACTGTCATTCCGTGGATTGGAAACTTCGGCGAACCCACGAAAAAATGCCTTCTCAAAAAGTTGCAAGCTAGGGGAGAGTATGCGAAATGCCCAACCCAACCTCTTCCTCTGACAGCTCCAGTTAGGTTAAAAATCCCGCGGCTCTTCTGGGTTCTCAAAATCGGCGGACCCTCGACCACGCCGTAAGCTGAATGTATTACATCTTACTGGCAACCCGGCCCTGCAGGCAATTGCCCCCAAGAGGGTAGCCCTAAATAAAAGAACACATGAAATTGCCCTATAAAATTACAAATGTCTATTTACAGACTAGTTTCTTGAGATCACCCGGATGGGGCACCCGGTTGTCACGAAAAGTTGTCATTGCGGGATGGGGCAACAAGGAACCAAACCAGTGTGTCAAAGTTGTCATAGGTCGGTTCGCTTTGAGACAAACGGAGAGGCTTGAGCCACACGAGTCCGATTTCGGAGCAGAACCCGTCCAAAGGTTCCTCCTGGGCTCTCGAATTTGCACAGACACCCGGGGACTGTTTCCTGCTTCAGCCCAAGAACCAAAAGGTCGAAGGCAACCATCCGAAGTTGACAGTGAGAATTCAAACCTCTCACGCAAACCTTCCATGATGGACCAGCGATTCAAATGGAGGCCCCCTCACTTAGAACCCCCCACTTGAAAGCGGCACGAACTGTCACGGAACGGGCTCCCGAAAAAGAATGTTAGTTGCCAAAAGAAAGCTCGAACCATACTGTGATGGTCAAAACCCTGCACCACTTAAGAAACTCTAGAACCATGATGCCCGTATAAATACCAGCAAACCTTATGAGTTCAACCATGGTTTGACATCGTGGCGCGGACTGGATTTCGCAACCATCCACGGTCTGTCCAAATCAAGAAGCTGACTTCTTGCTCATACTGCAAAATCCGAACCTATTGCTTCCCACTCAAAGGTTCCTTCCAAACACTGCAAACAGTTCGAAGGAACTTCGGGCAGTGAGGTGAGGCGTTCGGCTCGGGCGACAGAAGTCACATATGAGGCGCACTCGGCATACTTGACGAATCGAGCCACGCGTCTCACCGCTTTCTTGCTCCTAAGCCATCCAGCCGCCCAGAGATTTCCCTAGGTAAGGTAGGGCATGTGCCCCCAAAACAATTTGCTCAGGTCTTTTTAACAAGGAAGGGACAACCATCAAAAAATCAGCGTCCCTCTAATTGTGGTTTGGGCGGTTGGTGGTCGAGGGCAGGTTCCCATTATTTCCCCTACAAGAGCCAAACCACCGATTCAAACCACCGATTGGGGGGAGCTAAGGGTTCCAAGGCTCCAGAAAGAGGTTCCTCAGACGTTGATCGCCAAGGCTGCGCTTCGTCTCTGCAGTTTCACAGGTCTCTCCAAGAAAGCAATGCAAAGCAAACGACGAAAGAGAAACAAATGAAAGGAAGGAAGGAAGAAAGAAAGAAAGACAAATACAACGAAAACAGTGAACAAATAAAGAAACAAATTCAACCCATCCAGCGAAACACTTCAACAGCCCGCCAATGAAAACAAAAACAGAAACTAGATGTGCACTTGCTCTGGCAGCTACATGAACCGCCAACAAATCCTGGCTTGTCTTGCTTCCATGATTCTGGAAGCGACCTCTTTTTGTGAGCCAACAAACAAAACCTGCGGCCATTGCCGGCTTGAAACGGACCCTCTTATCTTACCTCCTGCTCCACAACCCCAATACTTAGTTCCTCTAAATCTTGATTAAAGAATAAACCACGGGCCCGGCAATATATTCGCAGAAAAACCGGATGCGTTTGGGTTGCCGATGGTTGCCGTTTGCCACAGCGAGCTAGGGGTCTTTTCAAGACTTGTGGATGTGCCAAAGGGTGCTGTCTAAGCTCCACACATCCAAATGGTGCATCCAAAACCATGAAAACCCACATCGCTGAGGTAAGAAACACACGCTATGAACAGGGAGACATGGAAACTAAAGTTGCTAAAGTCAGCCCAGCTCTTTCCCGGCCGGTTGGCCAAACAAGAGCAGTGAGGTCCTTCAAAAGGAAGAAGAAACATACTGTGGATGGACGAAATCCCACACCAGTTCATAGTAGGTCATTTACCTCAGGTTTCACAGGGCTAATCCCAACTGTTGCGAAGCGGATTTCGGCCATCCACAGTAACAAACAGTTTGACAAGGGAAGAAGTTGAACGTTGAGCTAGCTAAAACTACACCAATGAGATGCAGCAACAAATCCCTTAGGTATGCTTCAGGCAAATCTGTTGAACACCCAGTTGGGTCCAACAGGAAATAGAAATCAACGGGGTCCCCAATGGTCAAGAATTATTCAACCAGTCAAACATGGCTTTTTCAAGGAGACAAAAACACAACGACAGCAACTTGGATTGGTGTTCATTCTATCAAGCTCAGCTTGGGCGAGCCGTGATTTTGTTGCTCATAATTGACGGAAATGGGTCGGTGCCTAACAAATGTGCTCGAACATGAGATAGATGAAGCTCCCGCGGCCACCCCCTCCGCCAATTTATGCTTGAGGGGATTCCACGGTTCACCCTATTGGGAAACAAGGCCCTCTCCCCAGGCAAGGTGTTGTCTAGGTCCTCCAGTAGAGAGCTTAGAATACGGGTACCTTTTTTGTCTGTAGTCTATTTTGGTAGCGGAACCCTCCCCCCAAAAAAGAAACGGTAAAAGGGCACTACTGGGGGACCTAGTCGTTCTGCCTGTCACAAGGCTGAGTCAGTGTGGCTCACGGGTGGGCCCGGCCACAGGGCTCTGAGGTGCCAGCAAGTGGTTCAGCTTGGGTTTCTCGAAGTCCTCAGGCGAGCTGAGCTGAAGCCGCGAGCTGATTCTGCCCCGAAACCTCGGGTTTCCAACCCGCTTCAGGGGGGGGTGAAACGTTGGAAGGGGAGCAAACAATAGCTTTTAAATGTTGGCTGTTAAGTGGGGATTTGATTTGGATTTCAACCACACCACCGCAAAAACTGTTAAATGTATCCCAACAACCACCGGGGACCCGGGTCCGATCCCCAAGTTCAGGTTTACCCGTTGGCTTCCTCAACTTGGCCCAGATCACAGGAAACCGCTGACTTTCGCCGGAAACAGAACGAACATGACACCAGAAGCACCAGCCACCCGCCCTGGGCCCAAGAGTGCCCTTAAGGGCGCAAGGGGTCGTCGGGGCACGGATTTGTGGGAAGGGTACAAGTTGCGATTTCAGTCAGCCTTCGAAGGACTTGGGACTCAGCTGACGGTGACCTTGAATTCATCGACATGGCTGAGGCCACTCCCGCATCCTCTCTCCGTTTTACTATGAGGGTCAAAGTGAATGAATGGGGCTGTGGAGTCTGTAGAAAAAACAAGTGCAGCCACGAGCATAGGGGAACCTGTGAAATCAGCAAGTATTGAGCCCTTTCCCTATTTTTATCATCAACCAGGGGATTAGCCTGCGGTCAACATTAAGTGGCTGGGGCGTTTCAATGGCCCGGCCACTTGAGGAAGCCCTAAGCCCCGGTG